ATATATAGAGAGAGAGAGAGAGAGAGAGAGAGAGAGAGAGAGAGACTGAAAAGATAAACACCAGAATGTGTATCACTTATAAACATCACTTATCTCCTGGCAGTTGGATTGTAGATTATTTTAGTTTCTTCTATTTGCTTATATGTCTTGCTCAAATTTTCTATGATTATTATTACAATTCTACAATGTATCAGTTGTGTATTGATTAAAAATTTTATTAGTTGTTACTAATTTAGCTTGTTTTGAACAAAAAACTAGCTGGTGATTACAAATAGAAAATGTTTTACTTAAATAATCCCAAACTAGGTGTAAAGAAGTACAGGAGCAATTTCAAAGGGGAAAATAGGCAACAACTTCAGCTTTATCTTCTGTTTCTTTACAGCCATCCCTCAAGCCAGTTGTGAAACTAATGAGGAAATCTGGAATCCAGATGAAGTTCCAGAAAGAGCAGAGCATGATGACATGTGGGATGTTAGAGAAATACCAGAGTAAGTCAGATGAAGCCAGGAATGTGTTTAGGGGTTTAAACTAGATTTGTCATTTGATACCATTCTATTTTTGACAAGATTCATAAAGTAACTTCTACCACATAAAAGCTAAAATTACAGTGACACACAGAAAGCATGTGTAATTGATAATTTCTTCCCTTCTAAAGCAGAAAATAACAATAAAACATAAGACCTTCCTTTCAGTTATTATCTAACAAAAAATAAAAAACACAGTCATTTTCATTATAAATTTATTTAATGTCAGTCAGTTGTATAATATGAAGCCAACAGTGGGAAAACAGCCTATTAAATTACAAACATTCATGCAAACTAAATTATTATGCCATGTTTATATGTCAAAGACCTGTTTTTAATTATTCAATGTTCTACATTGACTATGACTATAAAACTGTGTCCAATGCTTGAAAAAAGGCTATGCTTCTATTTTCTAAGTCAGTTCTGAAAATAGAAGCAGTGGGAGACTGCAGATAATTAACTGGAAAAAAGTATACAGCTCTCAAATATTCAATGTCAAAAAAACCATAAACCTCATTAAAAAAAATCAAAGGGGATTTAAAAACATTTCTGAATGAAGAGAGTAAATCTCAGGTTATGTTTATACAGTATACACATTTCCATATGAAAGGTAAGAATCAAGTCACTCATTTGTCATATTGTCTAATAAATGTCAAACATCTATATATGGCAAGCTCTAAATTTGAGTAAATTTTCACTTTTCCTGATGTTTAATCTTCTGTGGAAAGAACATCCATGAAAGTTTACATGCCTAAGTAATCCAGTCAGGATATAAAAGAAAATGCTTTTTAATTTTTTTTAAGTCTTTATTTTCTATTTCATGCAAATATATTTCAAAATGTCCTAATGGGTAAAGAGAAACATGGATAAAGAACGTGGACAGACAGTTCACAAAAGGACTCACTAGTGGCCAAATAAAAAATAATAAGGGCCTGATCTAAGCCACTGGCCTCAAGAAGAAGCATGAGGTTCTTTATTTGAGAGATTTTTTGAAGGCAGATTTGGTATTTGATTAGATATAATGAATGAGAAGAAAGTGTTAAAATGATGCTGAGGTAGCTAGCTTTGGTGACTGGGTGAATAGTGGGACAATTAAGTATAATTGGGAATGTAGGTGGAGGGGAAGCATGGTTTTGGATGTGTGGACTGTGAGGTGCCTTTAGGACATCAGGCAAATTTATATAGTAGGCAACTGGAAAATTTCATCTGGAGATGAGGAGAAGAGAAGCAGCTAGTGCAAATCTATTTGGTGATCACAGGCATATGGATCGACACCTTTCTGTTTTGTTTTAACCTGGCTTCACCTTTGTAAATATCTGATAGATGTTATATCCTGTTAAGAAAAAAATGCTCCATATAGCTACTTATTGTTAGTCCTGTTCCAACTCAGAGAAATCCCTTTTTCATTCTTGGGCATTCCCATTTGCTAGTTGTCAGAAGTTTAAAGTAATCCTTTAGTCTTCCTGTCCAGAGATTTACCATTTCTTCATTAGGGCAGAATTAAACAGAAAAGAACATGTGTGAATGTTTACTTACTTTGTTCCATCTAAAATGATAAGGTACATAATGGCTGCATGATTCTATAAACCACGCTATCTCTAAGGGCCCAAGTGAATCGTCATGTGTGAGTGAAATACCAAGAAAATCTTTCATTGAACTAAGAATTCTGTAGAACTAGATTCTAAACACTATAATGTAGCCGTGCTCACTACATTACCAGTGTTTCTATTGTAGAATTTTAGATATTGAAAAGACCATAGAGATCATTTAATTCAAACCCATCCCCATTCATAACTTGTACAAATGTGGAACTCTATGAGTTTGTGACTTGACTAAGGTCACATGGTTAATGACATAAATGGTACTAAATCTGGATTTTCTAACTCTGTGGATTAAATTCAGCAGAGGAGAGTTTCTACCCATCCATCAAACCCCAGGTTATGGGCCCACTATTCTGAGTCATTGTTTTCCTTGAAAGGACTTTCCTGTTTTCTTCTACTTAGAATCTTATTAGAAGTTCCCTTAATCCATTTCATTTGTTTAGCTTTAAAACAAGTTTTATTTTAGAAAAGAAGAATATATGACATAAATCCTGCTTTACAAGGCTAGGTATTTTTGACTGAATTTCTAGACTTCTATTCCTTTATGTTCTGCTATAGGCCTGAAAAACTGCAAGTACTCCATTTAGTCCTTTTGTTTTATTTTATTTTATTTTTTTTGTAATGGCATGGTCTCATAAGTTTCTAATTCTCTGCTCTGTGACAGGGAATTGCTCTTTCAGTCGAGTCTCTGTATCAACATCTTTTTTTTTTTTCAGATATGAGCTTATATACAAACAGCAGGTGGGAACTGAGGATATGTTCCTAGGATTGACGAGAAAGGACTCTTCAACAGCATGTTGTGAGGATCTAGTGGTAAGCTTCTCCTCCCTTAGTCATTTTTCTTATGACCATTATAGCTAAATTGACTGCCTGCCTATTGTATACATAACACTATAAGCAAGGCTGTAAACTCTTTAGAAATAGTGATTTTTATGTTTCAGGTATTAAAGGAATAATGGGATAGACAGTTTAAAATTGGTAAACATATACAAAATAAATAAACCTTACACACATGGATAAGATTTACAAATAAACATAATAGAATCATATGATATAATACACTATTTCTGATCATATTAAAACTGCCCAATCCAACTGGACTGCATTTCTTTCATCTTAGTTCTGTCCTCTGCATGCCATCTGATTGGTTATTAACTTCTGATAAGTCGATGGGCAACCAGAAAGAAGTATTTCCTTCCCAGAATGTCTTTTCTCTTGTGTCTGTATCTCTTTTAATAACTTGGCTTACATTGGGAAATTTAAAAAGGGGTTTCTTAATTTTCAGATCTGAACTTTTGATCTAAAACTTTAAAAAGACATCTAAAGTGTTACTTGGCTCTCTAATCTGAATGACATTACAGGATATTGGAGAACAACCCTTGCTAAGCCACTGTTTCTGTATAATAACAATAGCAATGCCAATGATATCATTGAAACCACTTTATTTTTGTTTATTTGAGCCTTGTAATGATCTTGTTAAAATATATGGGTCTAACCAAGAGTGTAGAATGCAACTCATTTTGGCAATATACACTAGTAATTCTGGTATGAATTTATTTTTTGAGATCCAGGGCTGTTCTTCTATCTTTTTCCTTCCCTCTATTACAATACTCTACAGCAGGAGTCCCCCAACTCTCAGGCCTCGGACAGGCACAGGTTTTTGGCCTTTTAGGAACTCGGGCTACACAGCAGGAGGTGAGCGGCGGGCCAATAAAAGAAGCTTTATTTGTATTTGTACCTGCTCCTCAGCTCTGCCTCAGATCATCAGGCATTAGATTCTCATAGGAGCATCTAATGGTCCCTGGTGCCAAAAAGGTTGGGGATCACTGCTCTACAGTAGAGAGTACTGAGGTGCCCATAGAAGATTCTTAATATTTTTTTCCTTAAGCGAATGATAGACGGAATCTCTGTTTTGTGTGAACTTCAAGTTTTTCTCTTATTAGCAAAATCTTAGACATTCAATTGAATCAAGTAACATAATGGGAATAGTGACTTTAAGTACTTCAGGAGATTTTTCAAACTCAAATGAGTTAAGGTTTCAAGTGATCTTGCTTGAAGTAATTAGCTCCCAGAATTTTACCAGTAATATTCAAATTCTTCTCTCTTAAATTACTGTAAAATTATATTTTTGATGTCTGATATTGAGGATTGCTCTAAACTCTGGAGGAATTCTAGGCTCTAAATAAATAAAACTGTTGTGAGAGATTATATACAAATAGCAGGTGGGAACTAAGGCTATATTCCTAGGATTGACAAGAAAAGACTCTTCAACAGTGTGTTATAACGAACTAGTGGTAAGTTTTTCCATTTCTCTCATGCAAATTGCTACTAGTATTAATGATAAAGGTATACTGAATGAAGAATCATGGAAACTAAATCACAATTCAGAATAGGAATATGCAATTTATCTAAAACTCAACAAATATATACAGAAAAAGTCTTGATCTTTCCCTCTAATGAATTTATAATCAACTAGGGAGACAAAACTAACATAAATGAACTGATTTTATTGTTAACAATGAAATTCAGTGTTGACAATTGTAAGTTTCCCAGGAGTTCAGAGGGTTTGGATAAGAACTAAACCCCAATGAATGGCAGCAGCAAAAGAAACATTTGTTGGTGCTATGACACTTTACCACATTATACTGTTCTTTTTTTTCTTCTTTCTTTTTAATCACATATTCACTTAGTGAATATATACCAGACACTATCCTAAGTACTGGGGATACAGAAATAAATAAGAAATAGTCAGTTACCTTCAGGAATTTCCAATAAAGGAGATGAACACCTAACAAATCACAGCAGTTCAGTATGGTAAGCACATATTAGAGGCATATACCAGGTACCTAGTGACATAAAGCAGAAAGGGATCAACTGTCTTTGGGTGGATCAGATTTCTATGGTGGACAACATTCTAAGAAGAGCATTCCAAGCAGAGGTGGGGGTACATGGAAAAGTATCCAGGCATAAAAGAGCATGGCTTTTTGAGTAAGTAGTGAGTATAATAAGAATAAAGAATAATTGTGGATCATGGTATAGTGGTAAACTGATTCTCAAAAAAGGAAAAAAAAAAACCCTCATTTTTAGCTTGAATTTTATCCTGTAGGCAAATGAATGATGATGTCCATCATCATTGCTTAACCCCACTGGTAAGACTCAGACTAAAGAGGTTGTTGACCCTATCTCAAGTGTTTCTTGCTCAAATTTATATGCTTATTATTTCCATTGATAATATAGCACTTCCTCAAATCTAAAACATCACCAAATTATAAACATGTCATTTATTTAATAACAAAGGAAAATAGGTATGCTATCACATTAAATGTGCACATTGATTGTGCAATGCATCTTAATATCAGAAATATTAAAATGCAGGGAAAATTGCACATTAGAATTGACTAAATATGTTTTTTGGGTCCTGGACCGGGTATACATATAACAATGCAGCCCAGAGACTTTAAGAAGATCTCTGCTTAAGCTGAGTAAGGTTTTAGTAGGAGAATACACAATCTGGTTAAGTACAAAGAGTGATTTGGGGTTTAAAAATTCACAAGGACCACCCTTTTCTTTACCCTTCCCAGACTCCAAATAAGAAAACAAAATTTATGAGTCCTAAATCAAAGCAATTGTCCTAAACAAAATTCTGGTAGGACTATGTATATCTTCAGCAAATCTTCCATTCTTTCCTTCTAACCCCAACCCAAAGAGCTTCATTATCTAAATTCTACCTGCTGCTCTACTCTTGAATTTGTAGCTACCAAACTTCCTTTGCCTTAATCTATATTTAGGCATTTTATATTTTAAATAAAAATGTATATATTTGAAGTATACAACATGATGAAATGATATACCTATACATAGTGAAGTGATTTTAACAGTCAAGCTAATTAACATATCATCTCGCAGAGTTACCATTTGTGTGTGTGGTAAGAACACCTAAAATCTACTCTTAGCAAATTCCCAGTATTCAATACAGTATTATTAACTAAAGTTATCATGCTGTATATTAATTTTAGAGCTAGAACTAGGCTAGTGGTTTGCAAGTTTGTTTTGTTTTGCTTTGCCTTGTTTTTAGCTACCAATCCTTTTCATCAAATAAAATTTTATGAGAAAGACCAACATATAAAACACATAACAGTACCCCTACCTTGGTTAAAATGGTACTATCACCCATGAGGCAGTTCCTATGAGAAAAACTGGAGCTCCTTGAAACACAGTTTGAAAGATGCCAATCTAGTCTTTCCTCCTTACATTACAGTTCATTTGAGAAAATAAGGTCAAGCTTACAAGGTATCAAATACTCATATAAATTAATGGAAAAATAATAAGTGAGCTAGAGGGCTTTTTCCTCCTAGGTGACATGTCTATTTTCCTTTAAACCTCATGAGTAGAATGCCCTGTCTTGTTTTATTTTATTTTATATTTTATTTTCTCTTTTGTCCTCTCTACTCTTCATCCCTCCCCACAAGGCTCTCACTATAAGGGGTTTGATATTTATCCTTGACTATATACCCTTAAATACATGTTTATCATTGTTTGCTATATATATTTTTTAATTCAACAAATACTTATTGAGCACTTATTATAGGCCAGATAGTCAATATAGAGTGTTGAACAAAATAGATTAGTTTTTCCTCCTCTTAAGGGGTTTACTGTCAAGAGATCAAGCAGTCCATAAGCAGAAGCACAGACTTTCATAGATTTATCCAATAAGGAAACAATGAGATCAAATGGATATAGTTTATTACTTACACAGACATCATATGTAAGATCAGCTTGGTATCAGCTCCCGGTGTCCCTTTACCCCACAGGACGACATCAAACTGAAGAGGCTGAAGAGTCCACCCTAGACTGCAACTAAGTTGTTTTCTAGCCAGCATCTGTAGCTAAGGGGAGGGAGGTGGAAAGTCCTATGCCTTGCTGGAATCAGGGAGTAGGTTTGAGAAACTGCCTCATGGCAGCCTTCTGCCTGATAAGGAGCCTCCCACAAGGTAGAAAGACAGATAAGAAATAGCCTTTAGGCAACTCCCCACAAGACTGTCTATTTCCCATTCCAAGAGGATCACAGGATGTTCTGCCAAGTGCACAGTTGAGCCTTGCCTACACGGACTATATGGATACTGCAAAGTTGCCGGAATGCCATAGTGGAGCCATTTTCCTACATTTACAGTCTACAAATAAAAGTTTTTGTCCTGATTTTTTTCACTTAACATAATATAATAATAGTAGCAAACAATTTATATAATACTTACTAGGTGCCAGGCGTTTATCTAAGAACTTTGCACATAACTCATTAATCCTCACACTAAAACTCTATGAAATCAGTGCTATTATCCCTATTTTACAAATGTGGTTACTGAAGCACAAAAAAGTTAAGTAATTTGCTTCAGGTCATACACTTAGAATCTAGCAGAACTACAATTTGAACTCAGGAAATTTGAAGTTGATAGAAATAAGTGCAAAGTGATATGGACACAAAGAGGAGAAAGCCCAAGCAGACTTCATAATACAAGTGGCCTTTGACCTGGACATTTGAAGAACATAACTGTCGTGGTGAAAAAGATGTTTAAGCAAGGTGAACAGCATGAGCAAACTCATGATGCCATGAAAGTAGATATGTTTTGAAAACTTCTTGTTATGTTTTTGAAGCTCCAGGTTGCACTAGCATGGTCGACTCTAGTAGCAGATTATGGTGAAGAATGCAGTGAAGATTATGGTAGGAGATGAATGTGAGTTTGGAAGGCTGATAGTAGGAAAACCAGTTGATATACAATTGTACTAGTTAAGGTGAGAGAAGTAAAAGCCTGGACTAT